ATTAAGTTCCGTCCTTCTCATAAAATTTTGAAAAAGAAAGACAAATCCCCTTTATCCTCTTTCTACCTACCTCCCACACCCTACACTTCCCACCCAGCACAACGACGTTAACAATGGCCGACCTCGACCTCAACCCCCAGCTCATCGCCAACCGCCTGGCTAAAGATAACACCCTCCACCAACAGATTGCCCTGTTGCGCGTCGACCATAGTCACGCCGCTAAAGACCTGGCCCGATTCCGTGCATGCGACGACATGGGCCGTTGCTTCTACTGTCGCGAGTGGTCTCAGCTTATCTACAAGAAACATTTCACTTGGAATGCAAAGACGCAGGAGGATGTGCTGGCCGCTGCTGCTTATTCTGCTGCCACTACTACAGAATCCAACGGCGGTGGGAGAAGCAGGAGCCCGTCGTCGCAGCGGGCGAGGGTCGGAAGTACCAGCGGGAGCCAGCAGCACCTACAACAGGAAAAAAAGAAGGATAAATCTGCGCTACTGACCAAACAGCTCGAAGACACTGTGGAGAAGAGGAGGCAACAGCAGAAGCAGAAGCAGCAGCAGCAGCAGCAGTTGCTGCTGCAGGCTAACCATGGAGGAGGAGGGGGCACGGGTACGGGCACCGACGCGACTTCTCTGAACAGCAGCGGCACCGCCGACTCCGCCGACCTCATCGACCAGTTGGTGTCCAGAACCCTTGAGTGGATCAAGACGCCCTCGACTCTTCACACCCTACCTAACATTTTCCTCCCCGTCGAGTTCGACTCCTTCCCACACGCAGTCCCGCTCCCCGACGACCCCAACGATCCGTCCCATCTACTAGATCCCCTCGTTATCGACAAGTCTGCCCTCTCCCTGCCGTGTGACGCTTTCCCCTTGCTCAAGCTCGTCACCAGCGACATGCTCCTTTCGCACATAAACCCCACTTGCCACCACACCCGGGCCGAATTCAAAACCCCCTCGGACCTGGACGTCGACCGGTCCGTCTTCAACGATGAGCTCGAGCGCGTCGGACGCCAGACATTGGAGGAGCTTGGCAAGGAACTCGATAATGTCTGGGCGCAGACTAACGTCTTTCTTAACAAGATCGTCAAGCTCGAGCAGGAGCGCGACCACCTCCTGGGCGCCGGCTGCGTCGCCGCCCTCTCCGAGTTCGCCCGCACCAACCGTGATCGCATACAATCCTTCAACGAGTACTGGGCTCCCATCGTCGAGGCTAACAAGAAGTCTGGCAAGGGCGGCAAAGCCGCCACGGGAGGCGGTGGTAAGAAGCCCTCGAGTGGCACTTCACCGACTCCGGACCAGCCCGTCGACGACCTCGATACCGCTTTCTCTAATCACCTGGCTAATATCCAGGACCTGGCTGACCAGTGGGACGCACAGTTTGTCGTCCCGCGCTACGATGCCGTCCGTGTTCACGTCCAGTCTGTCTGGGACACACTCATCAACACCCTTGGGAAGACCGTGGCCCGCATGGCCCAGAACCGTATCGACAAGTACGACGAAGCAGCTCCCGAACGGTGCAATCAAGCCCTCAAGACCCTTGAGCGGCTCAATCCCTCCGCGGACCTCTCGGCTGCGCTGGCCCGCCTCCAGACGAGCGTGACGCAAAAGATGGACGAACTCCGCACCGAGATTGCCTCCGTCCGGCGGTCGTATGAGACGGAGTCGACGCGGACCGTACAGGGCAGGCTTGAGAAGACGGCTAACAAGGACTTCCGGCGCCGGATCAAACGCCTCGAGCTCATGCAGCAGCAGATCCGCCAGCATTGCGCTGCAGAGCTCGCGCTGGTCTTTCCCGCGCACGCGCTCGCCCGTGTCACCCTCAGGTGTCTCGAGTGCTTGCTGTTAGAGGGGGAGATTATGGAGGCCGTGACGCTTACATCGTACGCGCGCCGCGTCGAATCCACCACGCAGAGTGTTGACGCGAGGAGGGCGAAAGTGCTAGAGGAGTGGGGCGAAGGCGTGGCGAGGGGGAGGAGGGAGTTGGCGGGCGTGCTCGGGAGGCTCTTTCTCAAGGAGGGTCTGAGAATACAGGAGGAAGGGATCGCGCTGAGGAAGCAGAACAATTTATTGAAGCAGTTTGGGCAGAATGTCGAAGTTGAGAACGGGAAGGGGAGGAAGAAGAAGCAAGGAAACGGCGGCGTGAGCGCGGGCGCGAATGGCAAGGAGAACGGAGTCACCAACGAGTTCGCGCTGGGACAGCAGCAGCTGCAGGTGGCGGACGAGAAGGAGATCGGGGAGGACATAAATACCGGCGGCAAGAAGAAAAAGAACAAAAAGAAGAAGGCTTTGACGGAGGGCGGGTCCGAGAACGGGAGCGGCGTCGGGTCCACGCCGCCCAGTCCCACCGTCGAGAAACAACAGGAGGTCGCCCAAACCAGGGTCGTCCGCATCAAAAGCACCCCCGTGGAACCCGTTGTGTCACCCATGCCCGCCATTATGAGTCCTCCGCCAGTCGTCAAGAGCCCCTCCGTTGTCCAGCCAAATCATCAACAGCAGCAAACGCCACCGTTGACGGCGATGCACCCCTTGCCGAGGAAGAATCAGATGCATCCACCGGAGCTGAACGATTTGTTTTCCAGGGGGTCAGTGACCAAGCCCCCGGCCGTAGCTCCCTCTTCGTCCCCTGTGCCTCCTCCTTCCCCTTCTACCGTGATGGGTTCGTTGCCTCCGCCGTTGGTACCAACACCTGTGGGTGCGGCCGCGGAGTCAAAGCGAAAGGAGAAAGAGCGAGAGAAGGCGAGGCAGAGGGAGGAGGTGGCGAGGCAGAGGGAGGAGGTGGTGAGGCAGAAGGAGGAGGCAGCGAGGCAGAAGGAGGAGGCAAGGCAGAAGGAGGAGGCAGCGAGGCAGAAGGAGGAGGCAGCGAGGCAGAAGGAGGAGGCAGCGAGGCAGAAGGAGGAAGTGGCGAGGCAGAAGGTGGAGGTGGCGAGGCAGAAGGAGGAGGCAGCGAGGCAGAAGGAGGTGGCGGGCGGGGCGGTAGAGGTTGACGAGGATGTCGTCTTCCGTGAGCAGGCCAAGGTCGAATCGGTGCATTGGGCCGAGCAGGTTCAACCACCGCCGCAGCAGCAGCAGCATGCGGTCGTCGACGAGTGGCACGTAGTCGAGCCCAAGAAACATCATCAGGGGCCGCTGCGTCGCGATTCCACAGACGTGATCAAGTTCTCGCTCAAGGATCTGGCGGCGGCTGCGGGGGCGAAGGCAGTAGCGGTGGCGGAGACGCAGACCATGCAGCAGCAGCAGCAATACTACGTTCCTCCTGGACGGCAGCAGCAACAACTACAACAGCAGCAGTTGCAGCATCAGCAGCAACAGCAACCCAACCTTGTCTATGATGCCCAGGCACCCTTCGTCCCCGCCGCCGCTGCTGCCGCCGCCGCCCCCGCCCCCGAGGCGACACTGACACCCTCTCCCCAGCAACCTGCCACCGCCGCCACTGCCGTCGCTACTCCGGCACTGAACCTGGAACTCTTGGCCCAATCGGATCTCATCTCGTTGGTGCGTTCTCTCCATTCTGAGAACGCGCAGCTCGTGCAAACGCTCATGTCGATGCAACGCGAGGTCTCGTCGCTCACGTCGCGCTACACGGAGTTGATCGAAATCGCCCGCGAGCGCGAATACCAACTCGAGATGCGCAAGATGCAGGAGATGGAGGAACTCCGCCGTTATGTTCTCCTGGTCGAATCCAGGTACCGCGAGGCCGAGGCTCTGCTCGCCGCCTACGGGGTCACGGGCGCCAGCGCCAGCGGGTCACCCAATGGCGTCGCCAACGGTAGTGCGAACCTCAACAGCGAAAGCCCGCGTCACGCCCCTGTCGACGTCGCCCTCGCTAATAGCACCCTCAACCACGGCGACGTCGTCGACAACCTAGCGTCCCCCAAGTCCATCGGATCGCCGTCGTCGGCCGCGGCGAACTCCGGGTCGAGGTTCGCGGTTAAAGAACAGGTCTCGCAACAGCAGCAGCAGCAGCAGCAGCCCACCGCCGCTGCGCACGAGAGGCGCAAATTTGGCACGTCGCATCCGGGTGGGGTCTGGCGTGGGCCGGTGGTCGTTAGGTGTGGCAATTGCGGCGGGACGGGCCATACGAGCAGCGAATGCAAGGTTGGTTTTGTGGGAATAGGTGTGAAGCGGAAATGGAAGGGGATTGTCGTGTTACTTGCCGGGATTATCATCGGATTCTGGTACGGGTTGGTGTGGCGTGGTTCAGGAACGGTTCGGTTCACGCGCAAGCGTTCGCGATTCTACTCTATTGTCTTGATGATCTTGCAGCTTATTTATCTCATGCTTTACCTCCATCTCTTCTATTTTCTCGTCTTCCTAAATACATGGTGCAAAATCCCCCTCACCTCCCTGTAAAATGCTGTCTTTACAGGACTCATGCCGGTACTGCGAGAGTAGGCAGCACCTTTCAGAGGATTGCACTCAGATGAGATAAATCGGTGATGATAAGTGGCGCGAGTGAACAGGACGGAGGTTTAATTGAAAGAAAATGGAGTTCGTGGAAGTACAGTGAACACGGGATGGGTCGGATGGCGATGTTGCGGTAGAGATGCCTTTTTTTTTTTTTTTTTTTTTTTTTTTGGCATCTAGTTTGGACTGACATAAGCATTTAATCTCTCGTCTTCGACAGAATTGCCTCACGTTGTTCCTTTTTTGCTTTTCTTCCTTTTGTACAGAAGGTTATTTTGATTTTCCTTGCGCTTGTAGTTCCTTCCTTTTACAGTCATTCAACCTTTTCTGTGCGTCCCTCATTGGCGTACGCATTTGTATAATTCTTTTGCGTTTCTTCCCTTCATTGTTAATGTATTCTTGTATGACTCGCTTACATATCTGCGTTTTCGTGCTTTCTCTGTCCCTCCTATCTATACATACGGTGATTTGCGATGTACTTGTGTGTTGCGTGAGTTTGTTGGTTTTGCACCTACTGTTGATTCAGCGTATCTGTTCAATGGGCTTTTGGATGTGCGGAGGTTTGATTAGAATATATATCAAAATATACTCATAGGCAAGATGGCCGAGTGGTCTAAGGCGCTGCGTTTAGGCCGCAGTCTCGAAAGGGGCGTGGGTTCGAACCCCACTCTTGTCATTTTTTTTTTTTTTTTTTTTTTTTTAAAAAAAAAATTCCTAACGCGTGCAAAATTATGTATATACAGCTAATTACAGTACACGGTATACGTGAATACCTTACTCTTTATTTTTGAATTTCTATTCTTTAGATTATAATATAATAATTTAAATAATATAAAGTTAATTATAAAAAAAAAATTGAATTTTTATAAATAACTTATCTAAATATATATATTTCTTTTATCTGTTTTATATCTTTAAAATTATAATAGCTATTAAAAAAAAAAAAAAAA